AAAAAAAAAAAAAAACTTAACTATTTATCTTTGATAACAAAACAATATTTATCATTAATAACAATCATGAGTTCTTCTGCTTTGTTGGACATCCAACTATATGTAGACCAAATTATGCATGAGAACATTGCAAAATATAAACACAAAATAAATTTAAAAATCAATTGTGAAAATGTTATTGTTATAGCTACCACAATACTACAACAGAATTGATATCTCAACATCAATAACAAATCCTTCTGATCGGTAACGAGCCATATATACAAAAATTTATATATTCAAGGAGTTCAAAAGTATCATTTGATTTTATAAATAATTTCACCAAACCAGTTTTTTTTTTTTTTTTAATTCACAATATCATTAAAATTTTCACATAAATTAATAGATTAGAAAAGAATTAAAATAATTATAATATTCATTATTATAAGAAGAAAAATAAAATAATATTAACGCAATTAAATTAATAAATTATAATTTCAAAATAATATATATAACAGTCTTTTTCCATTAATTGTTTTTTTCTTTATTAATTGTTGGTTACATAATATTTGACACAATTTTTCAACTTTAGCATAACTTATTTAGAAATCGACATAACATATTGTAATAAGGTATGGGTAAGGGAAGAGAGAGAGAAAGAGAGAGAGAGAGAGAGAGAGAGAGAGAGAGAGAAAGAGAGAGATTTTGTGAGTAATTTTTACTGATAATGTTTAAATATGTTAAATTTTTATTATCCTTACTTATAAGCATGAATTCTAAAATAACAACTATTTTATAACGAGTGAAATAAACATATGAATTATATATTAAATTATTATGTATCACAAATTAAATAAAAAATTATTATTAGTATTCAAAAATACTTTTATACTAATCAATATTTCATTGTTTTTATACAAACAGATCATAACGGGCTACGTAATAGTTAACTAAATAAAAATATCATGAATCAAGTCATCTATGCTTAGCTTGAATCAAAACAACTTTTGTTGTGGTGATATTTGAGTTTTCATACACGAACTTTGTAAAAGACCACAAAGATGACGCACAACTGTTATTTAATATCTCCTAGTAAAAAATTAACGTCATGAATTAGCAAACAAATATATTACCACCACGTGCATCGTCCGTGCACTTCAATAGTTTCACTAGTTATAGTATAAAAAACAATTAGCATTTAAAAAAATAGAAAATTCCATATATTATTAAAACAGGAGCATATATAAAGGATTTTCTATCATGGAAAGACAACTGTGATATTTTGTAAAATGGCCAAACATAAAGGAGTTTTTTGTTGTTAACCTAAACATAAGGGCATGATCATACAAATCAAACATTTATTAGTTGCCATACCTTATCTTTTGCTTCAGGATTCGCTCCTTTTCTTAAGAGATGACTGATGACAGCTTCTCTTTTCCCAATAACGGCTAAATGCAGCGAAGTCAGTCCATCCTGCATCACCAAATTCACAAATATTAATTAGACAGCATATAAAGAATGCAAAAACCCATAGAAATAATATTAGTTTTTAGTAAAAATACGCATACCTTGTCTACCAAGTCAATATCATACCCCTTTTCAAGCATGCTATCCATGTATTTAATGTGTCCTGCTAGCGCAAAAGAATGTAGAGGCTTCCATTTCGCCTATAAGAGAGAGAGAGGTCATCAGGAATTTTTTTCATGTGCCAACAACAGAAAAGCATTTCGATTTTGCAGTCATATTATGTCGATAGAAAAGAATTACACTGTGAATAAAATAAAAAATGGAGCTAACAGTATAATTATCTTACAGTTGATAATTTCTCCAGGTTAGGAGCTTCATTCTGTTCCAAGATCGCCTTTTCTTCTGGGCTTAACATTAGCTCCACCTCTACAAAAATCCAAATCAGACTTATTCGGCTTATTTTATATCACAAAATATATAATGAATAGCAGCTTTGTGTAACATAGAAGGTTCTGAATTTTTCCCAAATCCCAATCATTGGACCCTAAAATACTGAGGAAATGTTTGCAAACATTAGAGAGAAGTAATTTCCAGTGTTTTGGCAGAATAAGGAACAATAAACTAAATCAGTCTTAAACTTTAATTTTTTTCAAAAGCCCCAACTTTTGTTTCAAATTGTGGTTATTTGACCTCTATACGCAAACTACAAATAACTCACAAATCGAATGCTCAACTTTCTAGCTTCCATTGTCAGCACAACCATCTTCCTATTCCCAACTAATTAAAAGTTCCCCCAGCATTAAAATCAGTTTCTCCAAAAGCACAAGTTTCTGCAGAACACGCTCTTACAAGTTAAGTAGTACAAGCCTGCAACTTCAAACCCATGTAATTTACACGAGAACTTAAACACAAGAAAGAAAACAAAATTCAAAATAGTCAAGGAACACAAACCTCTAACAAGATCCTCCTCGTAATTTTTCCTCGATAAATCCTCAAGATTACTAACAGAGGCCTTTTCATTACCATTGGCTCTCAAATCACTCTCATAATCCAAGTCATTCTCCTCATCATCATCTTCATCGGTTTCGTCGTACTCGCTATCATCACTAGCATCATCAGGGTCCTCCCACAACCCTTCATAATTAGTCACGGGATAAGCTCTTCTTTTCCAACACCCATTCACGAGACGAACAGGAGATCGGCATTTGCTATTCGAGCACGTAACTTCTCTGGTGTGATTAAGGTGGCCGGAAAGAGCTGGGTTTTGGGCTTTGGGTGCAACAACTAACGGTCGACGAGGATAGAGTGTGGTGTTGCTCAATGTAACTATCATCTTTGTAGTCGCCCCACAAATCTTCACCTTCCAAAAGTCAAAAACGAATTAACATGAAAATCAAATTCGTTCAGACATTTCATCGAACAGTTTGCAGGCGAGGTTGAAGATACTGACAAATGGCTTCGAAATGCACTTTAGTAACTAAAAGAACTCCACATTGAAATTGAAGCTTCAAGAGGCGTACCAAACTGAAGCACGGAAAGTGAAGCGACGAGGTATAAATATGGACGCGTGACAATTACGAATTTCCGGTAGTCGAAGGGAGTCCGTTAGACATTCACATGGGCCGCACTGTGCATTCTACAGGTTTTTTAAATTTCTCAAACTCATCTCCTTGTTTTAGGAACCGCAAGCATTCTGCGGGTGGGTCGCGGGTCAAATCCTTTGGGCACCGTTAGCACAAACAGAAGGTCCACATTGTCCAACCCGCCCCGCCCCAATTTAATATTGAAATATATATAGTTCATCTCTTTTTGGTTTAACTTATCCACTACTATTCTAATATGGCCTCGTTTAGTAAAGAATATGATGGGATAAGTTTAGTAAACAACCTTATCATTTCTTGGTTAGGGATTAGGATATAGTTCATGCGTTGCATGCGTAGCATGTGGGTCTCATGTCATTAAATTGACGTGCACGGTTAATTCTGTCCAATCATTTTGGGCGAATAATTTTATCCCAACTATTGTCTTCCCATTTTGTCTGAAACATAGGTTGTGAAATATCTTTTTTACCCCTCAATGTCATGAAAATTACAGAAATAAGATTTATAAAGTAAGCATTATGTTCGAAAATTGCACAGATTTGCTCGTCGTCGTTTGAGTGTACCCTAGCTGCTCCCGTAATACTTCCTTCTTCTTCTTCTTCTTTTTTTTTTTGATTTTCGACTGTGATTAAACCTATCTAGACTCGCAGGTGTCAATTTGTACGGTTTGGGCGACAAATCTCGAAGATCTACTAGTGAACGACTTCACTCTTGAAGGTAATAGATATGCAAATTCGGATTTCCAATTTTTGTTTTTCCCGATTGTATGTTCGTTTACAATTTTTTGCAAATTCGGATTTACAATTTTTTCCCAATTTTTGCCACATCAGCTTTTAGTCGTATTGAGGAACACATACGAATTGACTGAAGGTGACGAATTGCCGGTGATATGGTCGTATTGTAGAAGCTACGCCGGGATGGATGGACCGACGATGGCCGTCTAACTTCCTCAATTTTTGGTCCACAAATGCTTCGAAAGAGGGGTCGAATTTAGGTCACGAGCTCTCTGTGTGTTTTCCCCAATTAGCTTTGCAAATGAGCTGATACGATCAGGGCAAGATGGAAGTGTATTTTTGTAATTTCAATTTTCACAACATTTTTATATTTTGTAAATAGAGGATTAGACAAGGACAATTATGCATTATGGTTAGTAAATGTTGGACAAAAGCTGATTTGCCAAATTGGAGGGATTGCTGTGCCCAATCCCTCCATATCCCAATCATGTTTAGTAAACAAGGCCATAGGGATTAGGGAACATACATTTTTAGGATTTGATTGGATATGAATTTGATTTGATTTTTATTTTTAATATAGTTAATTTTCAAAAATGTAATATAGTTAGTTATTAGTAGATTTGAGTTTATATTAAAATAAAATAATTAAAATTTATTAGTAAAAGATAAATGATGTGACATGATAGTTAGTTTTTTTTTTTTTTCTTTTTTAACAACTCCAAATGCGTAAGCCCAAGTCTTAAAAAAGAACCAACTTATAGTCCATCCTTTATTAAGAGTCTTAAAAAAGAACCAACTTATAGTCCATCCCTCATACTTAATAGCACTAAAAAATAACAGCACTTAGCAGTATCGTACATGAAGGCTAGGGTCATCTCGCATATCATAGGCTTGATTGTAACGCCCCACTTTATTTTACAAAAATTAGAATAAATTTATTTAAAATTTATTTTAAAATGCTTGGCGGCGCTACTAATAAAAAAAAAACCATTTTCCATAACATCATAAGCATAACTCCCAAACGGGTTCATAAATCGAATCAACGCCGAAACCGGGTTCAACAATAACATTCATCTCCCTAAAACTGGGTTTTCACAAATGCATAAATACTAGGGAGTACACTCCCTATCAATAATCTGGTAATCATCATAAATCCAGAAATGCAGTAAACAATACTAAGCAGTTCATAGCAGCAGAAATGAAACCAATAACATGACCACCACTCGTCTCCTCTGTCGTGCCCGCAATACTAACCTGCATCCATGAAGAGAAGGTGGGGATGAGCACAAAAGGAAACAGTAGTGCTCACCACTATGCAGTAAACATTAATCATAAATAAAAGAAGTATGGTCACAACTTGTATACGTAATTAATTAGTTATCCCAACCTCCTATCCCAAGTTCGTTCTCATGTGCACACCTATATCAATAGACTACTGCTGACTATATATCGAAAGCCACGACCCTCGGCCTTATGGTCTTACAACGAGTGTCCAGCCAGTAGGAGTCTCCCCCGAAGGCCCGGCCTAGCCATCGGACTTACATCGGGGTACTTATCGCTGACCGAGCACAGCCCTGGTCTCAAGCGACGTGTCCTTCACAAGGACATAAAGAGGAGATTACCCCATTGGGTTCGTTCTATAGTTACGGGGATAACCGTTCGACGGCCGTTACAGCTCCCATCGAAGGCTACATGGTCCACATGCATACTTTGATCATACTACAAGTAAAACAATAATAAAAATATTAACATTTACAGCATAGCCAATTTTTCAAAACCCACTTGGAAATCGCGGTAGAATATTTCATACAAAATCAAGTACGTAAGTCGAGGCTCGACTCCTAAAACACCTACATTTAAGCGAGATAATTTTGTCAATAACCTATCTCACTACTCGAATTTAATATAAAACCCACACTTAATAAAAATTAAGGCTTAAGGGTTTTAATCGGATTTTTCGTGGACTTGGAACTCTCTCATTTTTTTTTAAAAGAATAAGACTCGGAGCACAAAAATGAAATCTCGGGACTTAAAATATGTTTCCTAAATTTTTCTCATTTTAAAAATAATTTATAGAATTGAAATCAGTACTAAAAACGGACTCCAGAACACCAAATAGGGCAGAAAGTCACATTGGGCCGAGCTGGCCACTGTACCAATGCCTTGCCACTGAAATGGGCTCACACAAAAAGTGGCTACTTCTACACAAGGGTGGGTTCGAACCCAGTATCCCAAACACAGAAACCCAGCGTCGCGACCACTACACCACACGCCATCTTGCAACAATAAAGGAAAATCTAATTCTATAACTTAAACAGAAGCCTGCAGATATGAGAAAACAGAGGCTGCACAACCAGTTTCTACAGAATTACAACTGCGATTTTACGAGAGGTTCGAACATTTACGACCATAACAATTTACTTTGAGTTTTGAAATATTATAAAAACGAGTTTTATTGGTTTGAAAAAAAAAAACAAAACGACAAGAATACGGTTCGAAATAACGAACAACACATTGACGACGGTAAAGTTCAAACCATAGAAAGAGGCTCCGAAACAACAAAACGAGACTCCGAACCTAACCGAAATAATCTCAGCAACGTTACGATACTCGATTTTACGAAATCGAGAGTTCCAATCATCCCCGAAACGTCCACGAACATACGAAATAAACAACGAACATACGAAACGACAATTATACAGAACTCGAGGTCCAACGAACGATTCAACGCGAACGAAAATAAATGAACGATATCATCCCGGATAACAATTAGTGAGAGGGTTTCGAAAAGGTTACCGTCTTCGGGAATATTGAAACAACAGGTCGGACAACCGGGGTGACGGGACTCGAAAGCTTGAAGAGACACCTCGAGCACTCGGAAATCCTCGAATATGTCGCTGCTTGCGACTGGTTGGACGTACTGGTTGCTGCGGGACCTCACCTTGACAGACAGCTCGATGGCGGCTCAAGCTCCCCGACAATGGCGGACCTCAGGTTGCGTGGGCTTTCGATGGTTGAAAGGCTGCAGGTGCTTCGCGAACGGTTTACGAGGCCTGAGGAAGACTGACAGCGGTTGATGACGGTAGCCGGAGTGCTCGCCGGAAATAATGGTGAGCGAAGCTTTGCCGGCAATTTCAACGGAGTTGCGGGGTCTGAAGCGGCCACACGAGCGATGCTTTGCTGTTGCTTATCCCGACGATGGCGAACAGAATGGACGACGACGAGAGAGCTTCAGGTTGCCGGTATCAATGGAGGATACGCCGGAATTTGCAGTTGTGCAATTTTTTTTTGTTTTGAAATAGAGTATCAGATACGAGAGAGAGATATCTCAGAGTGGAGAAGAATTCTCTCTTCTTTGGCCGAGATATATGTGATAAAGAGAGGTGGAGAGAGTGTGGAATAATCCCCCTAGAGTCGCGACCAAATTTGAACGAAGAAGAACAAGTCGTTGGGAAGGAAGGAGATATCCTTTTTGCTCCCAAAATCACGTGCGGTTAAAAAGAAGGAGAACGACGCTGGGTCTGCTCTCTTAATTGGGCTACAAATAATTAACTATTTGGGCAAGATTTTAATCTTAAGGGCCAAAAATTGATAACTAAGAGGGTTGGAAAAATAAATCGATTTGGGCCGAAAGATACAACGCGATAACAAGATTTCTCGACCGATTCAATTGACGATGAGTAATTAGAATTACGCGACTTATTGTATCAATTAGACTACATCTAGTTAAATAGTAATAAGTCTAAACAGAAATTTGTCGAGCAACAAGAACAATAATAATAATAATAATAATAATAATAATAATAATAATAATAATAATAATAATAATAATAATAATAATAATAATAATAATAATAATAATAAGGCAATTAATAACTATCATGTGATAAATAATTTCACACGGTTAGATAACTATTAAACATAAATAATCATAACAAACTTTTATACAAATTTTTCCATAATACATAAATAACGATTTTTTTAAATATATATATATA